CTATATATATATATATATATATATATCTTAGTACATTCCAAATAAATCATTTTGTTGCTCAACACTTGACTCCATTTTTTCCAACGAACCAATAAAAAATAGCTTCATTTTATTATAAAAAAAGAATATTTTTTCGGACTTTGAATGATGTCTTAACTTCTTAGCTCAGAGGAATAATTGAAATAATATTTTTATGCTAATAATATTTAATCAATTAAAAACAAATTCTATTATTAAATCTAAATTTTAAATTTTACCGATACAATATAATTTTCTTATGTTTGCAAGTCCCAACTAATAATATCATTTATGTAAATTGAATATTCTTAAGAAAAAATTTCAAATAAAAAGTTAAACAATTCAAATAGCTATTTAGATTAAATCCAATAGCGACTAACAATCATAATCTCAATAAATAAAAGATACTTTAGCTTTATTTTCTTACATAGAAATGCCGTATTTAGTTTGAAATTTTCTTCAATACTTAGGATTTGTTTAGAGCAGCTGCAACTTATTGAATAATCTACTAATAAATTAATTAAAAATAAAATGTTGATAAGTTAAGCACGGTGGGTATTACAAATTTTTATTTTTTTGGAAAAGTCAGACCGCTGCCAAAAAACTGTCTAGGTGCGGTGTGAAAACTCTGCTTTCAGCGTTTTCAAAACGCATTTTACCCAAACAGGTCTAGTACTTTTTAATCAACATTAAGTAAATGCTGAAGGTTGGCATTTTGCCACCAGACTAAATATTTCATAGTAGTTGATTCCAAACTTTTGGTTGAAGCCTTGGGTTACTAACCTTGCTTTATAGCGAGCAATTGAACAATCCGAGTGTTGTTTAGTACAATAAGTTGAGCTGCCGTCAACATTTGAATTTCACCGCTTTGTTGTATGAGGTAGGATTGGTGGGATGTGAGTCTGGTGAAGAAGATTAAGGCGCTTAGAGGGTTTGAGGTTGTCGGTTTTGGCTCCAGTCGAATAATAAACGGTTTGGAAACTGAGACCCAAACCCGAACATGACCCACTAACCCGAACTTTCATGCTAATTTGGGTCAACCCGAACCGGAGCCGACTCAAAAAATATTTGTGTGAACCCTAACCCGGATTTTTTGAGTTGAATACGAGTCGTGTTGACGTGTCGGGTCTATATATATATATATATATTGAAAAACAAAAAAATTTGTGAGACTTAGTCTAGTTAAAATAATTTATTATAGTTGGAGAAGAAAAGATAATAAATTTGAAAGCACTTTTGGTCTTCTATCGTCATAATATACATTGTATAAGTTGTGAAAAAAGACGATGGAGATCAAATGTGACAACCATACAATAACAATTAGGAGTTGATGACTTGGTAATAGTAATTTGGATATGATGATCGACCAACGATGATTGGAAGATGACAATCAGGATAATACAATCATGCAATGACAATTGGCAACAACAATGATCGCTGGTATGAATCATCATACATAGCTCTAAAGTTCTTCAAACATCTAAACCTTCTTTTAAGTTCTAAGTCTAATTTTTATCCTCTAGGTAAAACATAAGAGTCTATTCATAATTTTAAAAGTAATGTTTTAATTACTTTCATTAAAGTTCTAAAGTATTTCAACTAACAATCTGTTATTTCCCTTAAGCAAAAGATCATACATTTAACATTTAAGTGTCTTAATGATCTTATGATTCAAGTGATTTTACTCTTGTTGTTTTTCCTAATTTAATTTTGTAACTAAGCTATATGAATTTTTTCATAAACTACAAATTTTGTATCTTATTTCAAAATAAAAATAAAATTTTCCACCTGATCGGACCAACCAGCTGAAGGTCGTCCCCACATCAACCTGCTCGTCAATTCTTCAATCATTCTATACTCCATAAACATTAATCCATATATATATATATATATATATATATATATATATATATATATAAAGGAATCTAGTGGGTAACGCTTTCCCATTTGGGTCGAAACATAGATTTGCTTTAATTGATCTGAAGAACCTGCGCTACGGGATTCAAACCCCCGACTTGAATGACTTATGCCACATTGTATCTATATATATATATATATATATAGATATAAATATATATTTACACCTTAAACCAAAAATTAAAATCAGACAATCAATCAATCATGTTGTTAACGCCATCCCCCCTCCTCCTCTCCCTCCTCCTCCTCCTCCTCTCTTCCACCACCACCTTCTCCGGCGATCCAACCACCACAATCTACTCCACTTGCTCCAAATCCCAATACCCTCCCAACTCCCCTTACCAATCCAACCTGAACTCCCTCCTCTCCTCCCTCTCCGCCGCCTCATCCTTCACCCTCTACTCCCAATTCTCCACTTCCTCGCCTTCCATCTCCGGTCTCTTTCAATGCCACGGCGACCTCTCCATCCCCCGCTGCTCCGCCTGCCTCCGCTCCGCCATCTCCCTCCTCCCCTCCCTCTGCCCCTCCTCCTCCTCCTCCTCCATCCAGCTCCACGGCTGCTACCTTCGCTACGGCAGCGATTCCTTCATCGGCCTCGCTGACACCAAACTTGAATACAAGACGTGTTCCACGAGCGGAAATGGTGGCGGGGACGAGTTTCTGGCGGACAAAAATGAGGCCTTTGCGGCAGCTGCGGTGGCGCCGCTCACCGGGAGTTCGTACAGGGTTGCGGCGGCGGGTTCGGTGAGGTTGGAGGCGCAGTGTATGGGGGATCTTAGTTTGAGAGACTGTGACGATTGTGTTTTGGCGGCGGAGAAGCAGGCTGAGGTTTCTTGCGGCGGCGCCGCTGCAGGAGAGATTTATCTTGGGAAGTGCTATGTGTGGTATTCCGGCAGGGGGGAGATTCCGGAGGGCGGTGGTGGCGGAGGGGGAGGGGGACCCGGCGGCCGCCGCAATAAACCGGGCGCCCGCCGCAATAAAGGTATGATTTTTTTAATTAAAGGATGCGTTTTTGGGGGGGATAAATAGTTAATCTTTATTGTTTGTTTAGAAAATACTTTTAGAAATTATGGGAAGAATTAATTATATATATCGAAATTTCAAGATGATTTTAAACTATAACTTTAGGCATTTTTGGTTCTAATAAAAAAGATTATTTAGAATATTATTCTTAAAAATTGAAGGAAAAACTATCATAATCTAATGAAAGTACCATGAAATTATTAAAAAAAAGGTTTTTATTTTGACCTTGAGGACTTAATCTTTTGTCAAAAGCTTAAGCTTTTAGGTAGTGTATGCTAATTATTTTGAGATTGATAGTGAAGTAGTTAGCTTGAAATGTCTAATATTATTTTTAAATAGTTTACTTACTTTTTCTTTTATTTCTTCCACTCTAATCAAATGAAACTCCAAAAATTTCTTGTAAAAGTGGTAAAGTTCCATGAATTCAATTAGTTGACTTATCATAGTTGATTAGGCTAAGCTAGCATCATTAAGTAGTTAATTAAAACAAAATATTAGGGATATCCATGTGCCATTTAGATTACATTAATACTCTCATCACCACAGCCGAAAGGGAAGATTCCTTCTTCTTAGTCTTCTTTACACAACAAGCTATGATTACCTTTTGAAGGGAAAAAAAAAAGGAAGAGAAACGCCTTAGCTTTTATTTGAATTGTATGCTCACTTCTTGTGACTTAATTCGTCAAACATATGTAAATTTTAGAAAGATTTACATAAATATGAAAAGGTATATTTCACTTCTTAAAAGTTAAAATAATGATATTTTTTTGGTGATATGAAATATATGAATTGTACAAATGTAAATAGTAGAGTTTAGGTGTTGGCTATGTCCCTAAGGCAGGCACATCTCTTATGTGCAACATATTAGAGTACACAATCATGTATGTACGTGTTGACAACATATTTTATTTTCTCAGAACAGATAGTCGTGCACCATTACACACTCACTATATGCCCAAATAATGAAGTATAAATAATTGTGTTTACATTATGTGCACGTATACATAGTCTTTTATTGCCTAAAAAAACCTCACACACTCATTGAGTCAATTGGACTAGCCTCAATCATTTCACTATCAATTAAATATAAATAAAATTATATTCATATAAATATATGTTTTGAAATATTTTATTCAATACCTTCTATTGGGTTTGTGACAATGAGAGAGATGCGACATATAAACCAAAGAGGAAAAGTTTGTATAAATGATCTCATAATCATCTTCTATACCTAATCCAATAATGCCTTCAAATGTGCCATAAATTAAGCTCAACAAGGCTTGTTATGTATTGAGTTTGGAAGAGGGTAAGACATTGATTGGTGGCCAACCCGGCCCCACATTTTTTTTTTGCTCTATATGTTTGGGAAGCTTCCATTTTACAAAGGTCCCCTTCTTGCTTTAGTTTATTAGAAAAGAAGCATCTTCTTATCTTTAAGAAAAAGCGACAAAAAATTTTCATTTTTCATTAGTTAAAAACAAGAATTATTAGTAAATTTTAAGGATTTAATTCCATTTCAGTCCTTGGTTCAACACAACCTTTTTGAAAGCTAGCATTTATAATAGTTATTATAAACTAGATAAAACTTTGACAAGGTGATATCTCAACTTTTGGATCTCTCTTAATTTGGGAAAGTTATTAGGACGACATGGCAGCCCATTTGGACCATTGTTCGGGTTCGGTCGCTGCACGTAATATGTTCTCCCTAATTTGATGAAACTATCTCTAGCCTTTTTTTTTCATTCCACTAATGAATACAACATAATTAATTGAAAATGAATCTTTTTTATTCCGACAAAGAAATAATACGACACAATAACTGGTCCCTTAATTTTTATAGAGAATCATTATGTATAAGATGGAGAAAATATTGTGTGCAATCTCCCACAGGCTTAGACAGCCGCCTGCGATAGCTTTTTGTATGGACTGACATCTGAACACAATTTTTTTCATTAAATGTTGTTATTTTCATGAAAAATATAACGTGATTGGCCTTAAGTTATCTGTCTTTCTGTGTGTGTGTGTGTGCCGCGTACTCGGACTGTTGGTTTTCATTCATGGTATAAAACCCCTCAGGTTGGGGGTTCCAATTTTTTCGGCACTGTTGGTCTTAAGGAGACGGTACTCGAATTGTCAGACATATTAATTTTTTATTTTTTAAAAAAGATGAATTGGTTTAAAATTAATTATATATTTTTTTAAATGTTGCAGATGATGAGGTTGGAAAGACCGTGGCTATCATGATAGGGATTATTGCCGTCATTGTGTTTATTGCCATATGCCTTTACTACGTGAAAAGAAAGGCAAAGGGTAAGTTTTTTTTCCGTCAAACAACTAACAAAATCACTTCTAATTACATGATTCAATAATTAAATTCATTATATAAATTATTATTTCATTTTTAACCTTATGCATCGTCTAAATATGCATGAAATCATATGATTGTCAATATAGTATCCCATCAACAAAAATTCATAAAAGGGAAAATTACATACATATCATGCAAATCTTATGGATTTACATATCTAATATGTATGGTTTGATATGTTCATCTATATCGGCTTGGTGTTAGAAACCTATGCATAAAAAGAAGCATTTGGTGGGATTAATGGTCTTGTATATGAATGTTACATCAAGACTCCTAACACAGTTTGCGTTCGGAGTCCAATGGTGGGGCGTCACGTGTCAAATGGGCCCCATCGTAATACATTGGTATTGGCTAGCGTTAAAAACGTTGAAACTCACTTGACATGTGGCACTCCACCATTAGACTATGAATACATCAGAAGTCCTGATGTAATATTTTTTTCTTGTATATGTATGTTTGAGATTAAATTCACTCCAATTTTCAAAAAATATATATATAAATATTAAATTTTATATGTTAGACATGTAAAATGCATGAGAATTATGTGGTATATACATGTATGTAAATGTTTTTCATAAAATTATTTATGAAAGCAAAAATTCTCTTACACAACAGACCTTTGGCATAAATTATTAGTTCTTTTTATTACTTGATATTTTTTTGTTTTCCTCCCCTTGACAGGTAAAGAGTAAATACTGATGAAGATCTTCTTGGCAAGGCTTCATCTCTTATTCATCTTGACTGCTTCTATTCATTTCTCTTTCAAGTTTTAGCTTTTAAGGTCCTATTTTTCAACAATTTGCATGAAAAAATGGGAAGTTAGCAATATTTTTTGTGGAGGAGTAATTTGGGGGGATGATTTTCATGTATAATTTGAATTGCTTTGTATTTATTTCACATTATTAAATGAAAGTGGTGTTCTTTTAGGCCAATTTAATGTTTTTAGCCAAATTTCATGTGTTAAAATTGGTGTGAATAATATGATGGAAGATTGCTTATTATTTGTATGATAAAATGTTTTATTTAAATGTAATTTCATTTCCAAGAGCATTCATTGGCAAGTAGTTAAGAATACATATTTTGGTTAAGATACTTTGATCAAAATGGTTTTTAAGGTAATTGAGATGGTGTATTGGACTCGAATCATGAGCAGCGTGAGTCAAAGATTATAAATGATATCATTCCCCATAACTAAGGAAGTTAATATTGTATAATAGATTTGAAACATGGGAGGCATCTCATGTGGTGGCAATATAAGAAAGTAGGACGTTTAAAGCTGTCATCAATCTATGAGTGTCGTATGAAGGTTGATAACATGTTAGAAGTGAGGTGGAAAACGGTAGTCAACGAAGTCATTTTTCTGGAATGAGGGGAAGCCGAATGAACAGTTAAAAGGATGAGGCTTAAAATATTTGTGGTGATAGATTTTAAATTATGATCATTAATAATTATCATGTAATAGATGATTGAGATATCAATATTCACAAGATAGAAGTGATTGGCTTGATTTTTTCCTTTAATAGGAGGAGACACTTAGTGGCCAAAGTAAAGACTTAAACATTGATGGTTAGAGACATTGCATTTTGTTCATTGGCAAGCATTGAGTGATTATTAACAAGTAATGTTAGAAGTCCAATGAATGTGATGGTCATCTTGATCTCATATCAAATAGGAGAAAACCAAGCAAACATATGATCACTATCAAATGTTCATTGGTAAATAACTTTGAATGTTAATCATAAGCCAATGTTAATGATGGTCAATAATGAATGTTGAAAGTTACATAATACAAGATAATGAGCTCAATTATTTTAGGAGTGTGAATGAATGGTAACTTGGATAAATTATCAATGTTGATGGATGTTGAGTGATAATTAATAAGCAATGCTAGAGATGACATGTGCATGAAGTGTAATTATTCTGTACCTGAATTATCTCATTTGTATGTTTATATTATGCTTTGAGAAAAGTTTTGGTTTTGTTTTATAAGGTTTAGGGAAAGCGAGCAAACAGAGCTCAAAACATTGCTAATCAGAGCAAAGTGGTGTTCTAGTGTCGAGCGCCAGGACCGGGCGCCTATGCCTTAGATCCAGTCCAGAATCATGCACAAACAGAGAGCTTGGACAGTAGGTGCCACAAAAGTGGGCGTTATAAGACTTGGCGCCTAGGGCTAGGTAATCCCAAATTTTCACAGGAAATCTGAGAGCTTATAAAGTAGGCACCGCATTTGCAGCACCTAGGATCCACAGTGTAGCGCTTAGGCATTGTGATGACTTGACAATACATAGCACCTAGGAAACAATCACTATCGTATATGGGCAAAATCACTGGCGCCAAGGCACTAGTTGATAATCTGGCGGTTTCCATAGTTGGACTTGTCTCTTCACTGGGAGATCATTAAAAATGTTGTACAAGAAGTAATAGGGGTTGGTTCTCTCATTTTTCTACACTTCAAGAGCCAAAGGAAGAGTCTTTCTTCTTTGGAGACTTGTTTGAGGGAGAAAAGGGAGTGACATTATAAGGGTTTTGAGAGGTTCTTGCAAGGGAGGTTGTAAGATACATTGGAGATGATCAGAAACACAACAGAGGGGAGCATTGTGATCTTCTATGGTTGTTTCTTTTTTAGGTTTTTTGTATTAATTCTCTATTTTTAAATACTTTGTAATTACATTTTGTTGAATGAAGAAAATTGTGATTTTTTTGTTACAAAGCATGTTTTGGAACTAATCTTTTACTTTCTCTACTGAATTGATGAATAGGAGAAATAGGTTCTAGTGAATGATTATGTGATCTACACCAATTTGTGAATTGGTGTAGATTCTTCTATGATCTTTATTTACTTACAAACTGGCCATTTTTGTTATTAAAACCTTTATGAACTTTGAGAAGCGAAAGCATCCTTAGTAGAACATATAGGAGGACTTTCAATAATTCATGAGAAAGAAATATTGCTCAATGATTAGTGTTATTGATTGGGAGGGAAACAATTTTCATTGAAAATTCGCTGGATGTAGGAACTCAATAAAGATTTTCTATACTTGCTTAGTACCATCGAAATGGGACTAAGAAAGACCTTTGCTCCTGTTAGACACCAACAATTTTCACTTCACCTAACCTAGGTTTCTATGACTCAATTCAGAGTGGAACATTTTTCTCACAGAAACTTTGCAACAAACTTATTTAGGAATAATACATTAATTTAAACTTTAAAATGAGTTTTAAAGCTAAGTTCAACAATTGTAGATTAGAACTTTTTCTTATTGAATTTTATGTTGTTCCCTGTGGGATTGATATTCGGTACTTTATATTAAATACTATTGATACTACATATATATTTGCCTGAGTCGTCAATGTTTCACCGCACTTGGATTGTATAAAGTTTTTTGCATCATTTTTGTAGAGTGACGATGAAGTTCGATTAAGAAAATTTTAGTTGAACTTTTAAAAAATAGATTTGAAAGCTACTATGTTAATTTGTAACTTGTTTCTTGTTTCTTGTACATAAAAATCCAAAAATAGCCTATTAGTTTCCTTTTAAATTTTTACACGTGTATCCTTTTTTTTTTCTTGCAATCCTCCGGTTAAGTATTGCACTTTTATTTAAATGTTGTTCTTGTTGTTGGCTTGTCTATATTTATTTGAACTTTGTTACATTTCTTTCACTTAGGGTCACTTAGCTAGCTTCCAGTTGGTGTTAGTGTAATTCGGATCATTGGACCTTGAACCTTATGACCTAACTTAGAGAGAACAAATAAGAAAATCAGTAAACTAAAAATACTTCAAAAAGAACTAGGAGACATGACCCACTTACCTCCAAATGAACCTAATGCCCACAAACCTCAAGAGATTCCTAGACGTCTTAGGGATTTCGCAAACACTACAGTAAAGAAAATCCATTATGCATTAATACCCCAACCATAGAAGCTAACTCTTTTGAATTGAAACTCGTCATCATCTAGATGGTGCAAAATAACAAGTTCGGAGGGACACCATCAGAAGACCCTAATTTGCACTTACTGAGTTTATTAAAACTATGTGTCATATTTCATTATAGTGGTACCTCCAACGAGTTTATTAGTATAAGGATTTTCCCTTTCTCCCTAAGGGATAAGGCTGAGATGTGGCTCACTTCCCTAGCCTAGGTCTATCAGAGCCTAGAATGAACTGTCCTATAGATTTTTAGCGAAGTGTTTTAGCCAATTTTATGGAAGACCAAACATAGGAATGCTATCATCATTTAGCCAATTTTATGGAGAATCAATTTATGAAGTCTAATAAATGTTTAAGGAGCTTTGTGGGAAGTTTCCCTACCACGCATTACAAAATTGTTGATTATTCAAATTTTTTACAGTTGTTTGGTAGGATCCCTTAGGTCGATCATAGATGCAGCTGCAAGAGAATCCTTGATGTCAAATTCCTTTGATGATGTCTATTCGTTGATTAAGGAGATTGTGACTAATAATTTTCAATGGTCTGCTGATATAGTAAATCTTAAGAAGGTAGCCATTATACATGACATAGATGTATTATTTATCTTGACTTTACAAGTGGTGTCTATAGAAATATAGGTCAATTAGATTTAAATTCAACATAAGGATCTCCAATCATAGAGGACAAAAAATATTGATAAGTGGTTGATCTAGAGCCCATGAATGATGTCAATAATAGGTTTAACAATCTGTACTCCAATTTTATAACATTGGTTGGAAGAGCAACCCAAATTTTAATTGGAAAAACAATAACCCGAGTGTAGCAAACCAACATTGGGGAACTAGTCAAGCGATTTTTCAAGTGGGAATTGGGAATATCAAGGTAGCACAAACCCAAGGCAGACTTACTCTCCTAGTTTTAAATCAAACCCACAGTTTAAGGATTAGAAGATGACTTTAGAATAAGTAGTGTTACAAATAGGGAAATAGTTGCAGAGTTAAGCTGAGCTATTAGGAACACAGAGAACCAATTTGGCTAGATAGTGAAATTTCTTAGTAATAGACCACAAGGAACACGTCCTAGTAACACCAAAGTCAACCCTAAGGAGAAGAATAATGAGCATATTAAGGCTATTAAGTTGAGGAGTGGAAGAGTATTGGACGAAGTGATTAGGACAGAGCATGAAGAAATAGAAGTTAACCCTGAGCTCGAAAGAGGTAGTGAAAAAACCCTTCTAAATATTTAGGATGATTAGCCTCACCTCCTATGATGAATTTATAAAGATCATCTCCACCATGTCCTCAAAGACTTCAAAAACATAGTTGGATTAATAATTTTCGAAATTGTTAGAACTTTTTAAGAAGCATACAATCAATATTCCTTTTGTTGAAGTCGTAGAACAAATGCCTAGCAACATTATTTTATGAAGGATATTTTAAATAAGAAACTTAAACTAGGAGATTTTGAAACTGTTGCACTTAGTGAGGAGTGTAATGCTATTATCCAGAAGAAGCTTCTTGGGAAACTTAAGGAGCGTGGTAGTTTTACCATCCCCTGCACCCTATAAGAGACATTTTTAAAGAAAGCATTCTACGTTCTAGGTGCTAATATTAACTGCATGCCCTTGTTCATCTTTAGGATTAAAAAAGTCTAGCCCACCATTGTGGCCTTTCAATTGGTTTATCGTTCTCTTGCTCAGCCTAGAGGGTTATAGATGACGTTTTATTCAAAGTAGATAAGTTTATCTTTCCAGCTGGCTTTATTATTTTAGATATGGAAGAGAATAAGGAGATCTTGAAAATTCTAGGGAGACATTTTCTTGCAACTGCCAACTGGGTAGGTTTATGATAGATGTTCAAAGGGGGAATTAATGATCAAGTTATAACTTTTAATATGTTGACCCAATTCAATTACATCACCGGGTCAACTCGACCTAACTCGAGTTAACCCAATTTAGCTGAATCCTGGGTCAACCTGACCTAACTCGAGTTAACCC